AGAGATTCTACGACAAGGAGTTAGTTACACTTTTGGAAAAATATTTAATCACCTAAAAATGCTCTTTTCAAAAAAAGATACCATGTGTGGTTTAATTCTAAATTCATCTCCTAAAATATCAAATTATTTTTTGATTTCTAAACTCCTATTTTTAAAATCCTAATTGAATTTTTAATTTTTGGGCGTGGCATCGTATTGAAACAATCGTCGGTCCCCTTCATCGAGCAACACGTCCATTCAAACATCGGATCCACTATAAGCCTTGACACAACCGATGTGTCGGAGGACATCCTAATTAAAAGGTAATTTTTGATAACGTCGGTCCCTATCGGATAGGAGACTTCGTTGAAAAATTTTGAATATTCTTTTTGGTGACGTTAGTCCCTATCGGATATGACACTTCATCAAATATTTTAGATATTGTTTTTACTTTTATTTTTATTTAAAAAAAAATTAAAATTTTAATTAACTAAAATCAACTAAAATAAATTTTGACAAATTAAGTATATTGAAATCATCGTTCGTCAATAATAAATAGGAGACTCGTTGATCTAATATTTTAATCATATAAAAAATCACATACTAAAATAAATTTCGCACATAAGTATCTCTAGATTTTCTAACATACATAAGACTAAAAAAAATATTACAAAACACATAAAATAAAAAAAATCAAATAGTCCAAAATTCACCTATATTGTAAAATTACAAAAATACCCTTAGAATGTCAAGAGTCACTACTAAGTGATCGTTCATCTTTCGATGATCGTTCAAGCATGTGGACCACCCCACCTTGTAGATCCGATTGCTGTGAGTCCAATAATGGTGGTGGCCGTCGGTAACGATGTCGGAGGAGGGAGATCGGAGCTTCTAAAGTTTCAACGTGATCTTCCTTTCTTACCGACGATGATTTTTACATCCTATCGAGATTCCAAGCATACCGAGTTGACTCGCGAGGTCGAGAGAAGAATTTCTATAGTGGTTAGGACCTCTAATACCTTCTAAATCGACCAATTATTTTAGGTTTAACCAAACGGGTCACATTCAATTAGACCTTTTTTTGGTGACGTTGGGCTATGATTTCAAGAGGGAAATGTTCAAGGGGGCTGGCCGACCAAGTCTATTGAATTGGAGCTTGGAGATTCAACCAAAATTGAGAGATACTACCGGATCTTTTTATGGGTTGGGTTGTAGTGGTTTAATCTCCGATTTCTCTCTCCTCCATGATTGGTTCTTTTCTTAATAGGTATGGATAGATCGATCTAGTGATGGGTTATATGTAGGTGGTGTTGATCGGGGTCAAAATGGATTAAAAACGATCAATTGGAGGGTGAAACGTTCACTCGGGTAAATAGGCTTGGTGTACGAGTTAGGACGTATTTGCTTTTTTTTATTTTCGTATTTTGTTTTTTTGCTTATGTGGCTTTTTTTTTTGGCTCGTGGCTGGCTTTTTTTTTTTTTTTTGTGTCCCCCTTACAAACCAAAATCCAAAAGCTTTTTATAGGTCAAAACCTCCTAAAATCTCTCTCAAAATCAACCCATTTAAATTCAAATTCCAACTATCAAATCTTAATTTTGAGATTTGATTAGCTAAAATAAGAAGATTCCAATTAGGTTATGACACTAACATTTACTCTTGTACACATCTATCCTAGTTGTTAACTTTCTAGAGATATCCTTGAAATAATTAATTATATAAATAGTGACTTAAAACCAAGAGAAATACATATAGAAACATTATGTTCACTTGTCTCTCTCTAGAATTCAATTTGGTATTAGAGCCGTCTTTCCTCTAATGAAACAGATTTCCCTTAACACTACCAAAAAAAAACTAATTAGCAACAAAATTAGTGACATATCTTAATTCGTCACTATTTAGCGACAAATTAATGACAGATTAGATATAGACTATAAAAGGTTGTATTTTGCGATGGATTAACAAGGCGGGAAAAAAAGCGACAAAATTAGCGATGGATTAGCCATGGCTTTGTGGTCTCTAAATGGAAAACTTAACAATGGAAGTTTTTCCATCACTAAAATTTTTGAAATTTAGTGAAGTTAGCGACGGATTTTGGAATTCGTCACTAAAATTAGTGACATACTTCAAGTCCGTTGCTAATTAGCGTTGGACATCAAGTTCGTCGCTAATTTGTGTCTTTTTTAAGAGAAAATTCCTCTAAAATGACCCAAAGTTAGCGATGAATTTTGGAATTCATTGCTAATATGAAGTCCGTTGCTAATTTGAGCCTTTTTTGGGGGAAAATTCCCCCAAAATGGGCTTAAGTTAGTCACTAAAATTAGCGATGGTTTAGAATTCATCGCTAATTTATGCTTTTTTTGAAGAAAGATTTCCCTAAAATGGTCCAAAGTTAGTGATGGACTTCAAGTCCGTTGCTAATTAGCGACAAACATCAAGTCCGTCCCTAATTTGTGTCTTTTTTGAAGAAAATTTTTCACAAAATGGCCTAAAGTTAGCGACGGATTCCAAAATCATTCGCTAAAATTAGCGATGGCGGGTTGAGATATTGAGGGGAAATTTACCCCCAAGATCCCAATCACATCCAACACTACCTCATCGATGTGACATTCATCGTTAAACTTCGAGAGACGGACTCGTAATCCGTCGCTAATTAGCGATGAATTAGCGATGAAATCTTACGCTTTAAATACGATGGCGAGCCCATAAAGCATGGTGGAAGAGTCGCACCGGTCTTTTCGGATAGTTGTATGGACAATGGCAAAATGAGCCGATCCTTAACGGTTTTCCATAAATCATAAACTTCCTTCATCTCATCCTTATCAAGATAATTTTTTCGTAGAAAATCCAAACCCAAGGCAAATCTATTCGATCCAAAGTTAGATGCAACTTTGACCTACTCTCCGCCAAAGACCCCGAAACCACAACACAACATATTGATAGGGGTAAGCAAATGGTTAAACGATTCGGTTAAGCTTAATTTGGTTCGGTTTTTGGTTAATCGAATTAGGAAAAATAAAAATCGTAACCAAACTAAAATTAATTCTATTAATTCGGTTTGTAATTGAATTATTTCGATTCGATAATGAAATAATTCGATTTTAACCAAAGTTTTGCTGCTCGTGAATATATATATATAGTCCGCAATTCAAAACTTGAAAGCGATATCATATATTCATATTCATACTGCCGACTCTTCGTCGCCATAGTTATAAAAACAATAAAAAGGTAATCTCACATGCAAATTTGTTATCAACATTCAAATCTCGAGTGCATCAAAATACATTGATTATATTATGCCAAACTCCTCAAAACCTCACATGAATGCTTAATCAAAAAGCTTATGCCTTTGATATAACACATGGAGTATTCTTTTTTCTAATTGTAGTTAACCATTATTTTCTTTTATCCCACTTATTCTTGCAGAGTGCAGTCAAGTGTCATTATCTTTTGCGGTGGTAGAAGAAGTAATGCACTTATAATAAGGCGTTATAAGTTTGGCATATAAGACTAACCACTTTAGGCAAAAACATAAAGGCAAGACAATTGCACGAGTACGGATCCCAGGAACATGCTTCCTGACCTTTTGTTTAAAATGCACTTGCAATCAGAACAAGATGAATAACTGAATATTCAAATCTCATTTGAAAATCAACCTTGACATCGAGCTTCTCATGATTAGTTGCTAGGATGATATCATGATTCTATCTCATAAAAGGCTAGTAACTAGTTATGGAATTTTTGGACTCAAATAGGAACCACAACTTCAATCAAAAGAGCTATAAATAATTGAAGTTAATAGTATACCTACATGGCTACATTGCATCTTGTATAAGGAAGGAAAAATTTGAAATCAATTATTAAAACTAAAAGCTAAAAGACAATAACATACCATGATGAATAAGCTCAAATCATGGATGACCAATCCATTTTCTAATGTTGTCTTAATTTTCTTGTAACCGAGTGCTAGGCTGCCAGCATGCTACATCACCGTCATTGGCTCATTGCCATCTTTGTTTATTGAGACCAAAGAATCCATTGGCATTTTAGCAAGAGTAGAAGTTCAAGCATCAGTCTCTAATTGTTAGATACATATTGAAGTTCAAGAGTAGAAGTCTTTGTCTATTGCATGCTTGGATCGTGTTCTCCGACATTGAAAAAGAAAGATTGTAGCATTTAGTAACGGTGCAGATCATAATAAACAGAGATGATACTATCCAAACAATTAAAGGAAAGAAAAAGGTAACTAAGATTATTTTGTACCAGACTAATCTGAGAGGGCCATTAATAAGTCTCATTTAAGAGTCTAAAACTAGAAATTGGGTCATAATAGATAGATCAATATCAATCCAGGGACAGAACCAAACCACAAATGCTACAAAGCAGAACCAAACATAAATTTTAAATTTTAAATTAGTAAGACAGAGTTTGTCGTCTCTTGAGAATCCAATTGTCAACACCAATCATAATTCCCCAAGCTCTTTCTCCGATCCTCATTGGCGTATAGATCTCAACCATCATGACATAACACGATCAGAACAAGTTAATAAGAAAAACAAAACAAGAGTTTATGTTTTCTAATCTGTATCTCTTGTGGGCTTTAAATAAAACATCACATCCTCTGGAAGACAAGAAGAAACTGACCTTGAAAGACACAAAGCTTGACAAAGGAAGAGGACTGGAGTGGAGTGGAGTGGACAGTGGAGAGTGGAGAAGAAGAGTGAGACTGTGAGAGTGCGAGAATAAGACTAAGAGTGCGAGAGTGAGACAAAACGAAAGAGTTTGCTGAGAGCTAGCTTAGGGTTAGGACTTTGGGATTTAGACATTAGAATTAGGAATTAAAAAAAAAAAATTGATTTTCGGTTCAAACCGTTTCTTTTTTAAAAAATCGAACTGAACCAAAATTATTTTGGTTTTTTCGATTCGGTTATAGATTGTATATTTCTTAATTTATACCCAAACTAACTTCTATAATTCGATCGGTTTAATTCGATTTTTAGTTAATTGAACCGTTTGCTCACCCCTAACCATTGATCAAACTCCGGATAATCAAACCAATTGATTCAGAAACATCTTCCTTGTCCAAAACTTCCGGAAGAGTATAGGAAACTGACAACGGGGTAGCGGATGAAGGCCACTCTCCAGGGAACTGAAGTCCATTAACACGTGTTCCAGATACCGAATCAAATCCAACAAGACCGGACTCCAAGAAAGCTTCATGAACAGCAATAACCAAGAGGTAAAGAACACCAATCTCATCACCTAATACACTCATCAAGATAGAAGGAGGAGAGAACCTCGCGCAGGCCAAATCTTTATACATGAAATCAAAAAGAAAACGAAAGAGTATTAGAACTTTATTGAACAAACCAACAAAATCAGGTTTTCTACTCGACTGACACCCGAGACACTAAGCTTCCATTTTTCTCTCTCACACACAATGACTAGGGTTTTTTCAATGCTTTGTTACAGACGAAAGATTAACCTGACACAGTGACACAAATATAAATACTCTTTTAAACCGCCTAAGAATGTAGCTAACACTGATTCTGATTCTACTAAAAAACTTAATCCTTGTTAAATTAGGAATTGAAACATGGGAACAAATATCCATTCTTGATTAGGAAAATACTTTTTCCATATCATTTTGTTTTAATTAACAAAACAAAGTCTTGTGCGATATCCATTCCTGATTTATGTCCAGAAGCAGGACAGGCCAACTCATAAAGTTTTGGGCCTTCTTACGATAGTTAATCCAGGCTCTAAATTAACCTCATGAATTGAGTGGACACGGCAGAATTTGGGCTACTCGGGCCCAATAAAGAACACAAGTTGCCGAAGAATCTACACAGCTTAAGCCCATCGTTTCGTTTAGTGTATTCACTGGACTTGGAGTGCATTTCCTCTGACATTTATTAATTTATTTTCAAATAGTATGCCTAACAGCAAAGGAATATATATATATATATATATATATATAAACAGAAACTTAAAAGTAATAATAATAATAATAATTTAATCTATAATTAAAATCAAAAGTAACTATGAAACACATGCCGTTGCCGAAAATGAAAAATAAAAAAGAACAGAGAAGAACGTACGTAAAAAAGGAGGAAGAAGAACCTGCACAAACATTTCTAGCCTTTGAATGCTCCACAAGAAAAGGAAATTTGGGACAGAATGTTTGCTTGCTCTTGATGATGACTATCACGTTCTTAGTGCAACTACCATTATAAAATATGAAAATAGGTGGCAACATTAATTAATTACCAGTGTCATAGATTTGTACTGTTTTTTATTTGTCTAGAATTTTGTGAACTTTTGTTTTGAGATGATGATGGATCAATCTTGATTTTGATCCAAATTTGGTAAGTGTGCGATAATGGTGTTTTTATAAAAATGTGTTTAGAATTTAATATTTTTTTATTATTTTTTTAATAGTTTTGATATCAGCATAACAAAAATCATTCAAAAGTATACAAAAAATACTTGCAAACGCAATTAAAAAACATGACTAAATGCAGTCTAACTGCTTCCTTCTTGGTTTGGATACATGTATTCTTTCTTTAGATTTTTCTCCATGCATGTTGGCTGTTTTTGCTTTATGGTGTCTTAATATATATATATATATATATATATATATATATTTGCTTATCCAAATAATAATAATAATACTAATCTCTTGTTAAGCATCAGTTAAGAGAATTTGTAAATATATAATTCAAACTGTTAAAAGGTGTATGGAAATATTATATTATGCCTAAGGAATTTTGACTCTGTATTTTTTTTTCTTGCATTAGAAAAATTGTTGGTTCAGTTGCTTTTCAATTGAAAAGTTAAGTCATAAAGTGAGGTTTTTCCTTACATTTATAACCAAACATCCAACTTTTTCTATAACATATGTGGAATAACCTAACAATCTTTTTGTTTTTTTTTTTATTAACATATCTAGTCTTAAATTGGCTATTTCTCATCAACTTGTATGATTTTGATATACGAAAAATTATTTAACTTAGACTTTGATACTAGTATTGGGTGCTACTAGAATTTTCTTAACCAAACTTACTCAATTAGTAAGGCTTAAATATAATGTACTTGTCCTAATTAACGCTACAAAATATAAAATTAAAAGAGGATCCCACATCCAATAAATCTTAAGAGAATTGTTAGAGCACTTATCTTATATCATATAAATAAACAACAAATGAATAATATATAAAATTAAAAAATGACTATCTACCTAAGGTTTCAATATTTTGAATAGAGTCTAATCAAAATTATCAAATTTTATATGATATTAATGCTTAAAAGATATCCAACGACTCAATAAAAATAGATTATATGTGAGAAAGAAGGTTAAAATACCTATTTTATATTGAATAATATATAAAATTAAGAAAGGATCATCGATCAATAGATTTAAACATTTTAAATAGAACTTAATTTTAACTATTAAATTCTACAAAAATTGACTATTCATTATAAAATTTAAATAAAACTGAAACTTAAATATCAAATTCAATAAACAAAAGAGAATTGAACTAATTAATTGAGAGGAGGAATCGGTCTAATTAACATATTCATTTTCGCTGTGGTCTCGTGCGAGTTTGGCCTAAAGATGTGCTTTCCTTATTTTCTTTCTTTTGTTTGTAATAATTAAAGTGACATGATATGTAAGAGCAAACAACAGCGAGTTAATTTCTGGGGGTACAAACTAAAGACTTTGAAATCAAAGACATTCCAGTTTGATTTCCAAATTCAATAGTTTTGAATGTTAATTTTTAGCAGATCCAATTCCTTGCAGAAGGAACTCTCTACCTCAACTTAAGTAATGTTTTGTTAATAAATTGGTCTCTATTCCACCTTCAGTTAACATTATCATCATCAACTACGTACAGCTGTCCTAACTCAGAACAGCCATCCATTTAATTAAAAGAAACACAAGATGTGGACAACACGAAGCCTCATAGTAGAAACAATACCATTTTCAAATAGATTAGACAAACATTATTAATGAGTACAAAAGAAATTAAAAAAAAAAAAATTGCAATTAATATGCTACTTGAAGCCTTGAATTATTCAGCAATATCTATCTTGACCAGCATCTATGTAGACTAGCAGGTTTTTAATTTGATCTACTGACGGCCTCTAGTGTGGAAGCTAGAGTTTATCTTTAAGACCTCAAACTTATCTATCCTTCAGATTGGCTGCTGGGAACAATATGTTGACCTTAATTATCATGTGTCATTTTGCTCTGAAGAAACTAACAAGTTTTTTTTTTTTTTTTTTTTAAAAAAAAAACAACTAATGAGTTTCATTTAAAATTTTCAACAAAAGAACTTCATGCTGATAATCAAATAACTATTTCAACTGAAAATTTTAAATTGTTAGAAAAAGTTTCAGAAATATTCAAGTCTAGGCTTGTCACTATCTTGTCTAATTATTTAATTTTAATTAAAAAATAGAGATCATGAGATTCAAATTTTATGTTTTTTATGAAACCTCAACGTACGAAGACTTTCCTATATGTTTTCCAAATTTCTTGTTTCTTATGTTGTGTTATATGCTAATCGTTGAATTTTCCTCCATTATCTTGTGTTTAAAAAGATAATATGTTTATATTTGATGAATCTCGTTGAGTATATCATGAAATTTACCGTGCCAGCTAAGAACTATGTATTAGAAAGTTTGACAGATTCAAAATTTGTTCCCCATCCCAGAAACTTCAAAAAGGTCAAATTTGGATGAGTAAAACCATAGGAATTTGCTGAAATTTCCAATTTTATACAGAATGGAAGTCTATAAATACATCTACATTCCCTGCGGAGATACCAAGATTTCAACACTTTAACTAGATTTCAGTACTAGCTATCTATCTCACAAAGCTCTCAGAAAGTTTAAGCTAAACCTCTCTAACTCTTTTCCTTCTGGGTCTCTTAATCCCCTCTTTCTATATACTTTTAGAATCTCCGTCAATATCGCTCATATGGAAACTCCAAGATCACCTCTTCTACCTCCAACTTATGGAAAACAAATCACTATTCTTAGCATTGATGGAGGTGGAATAAGAGGCATTATTCCAGGAACTATCCTTGCATTTTTAGAGTCTGAGCTCCAGGTAGATCATAAGAAACTGGGTCCTTTTAGCACGTATATTGCACGTTAAATAGCCATGCAACATCATGCATGTTTTTTGTGTTTGTAAGCTCATGATCATATAATATAAACAAGAATAAGAAATTAAGTTGAATGCATGAAGTACGTATAAAACTTAATAGTTTTAGCCTTCTCTGTGCAGTGCTGTAATGTTTATTTATTTGTCACGTATATACGACTGAGTTGTTGCTTTGCTATTCATTACTTTTGTAGAAGCTGGATGGTGCTGATGCAAGACTTGCAGACTACTTTGATGTGATTTCAGGGACGAGCACTGGTGGACTCGTGACTGCTATGTTAGCTGCCCCAAATGATCAAAACCGCCCTTTGTTTGCTGCGAAAGACATTAATGACTTTTATATTGAGAACTGCCCTAAAATCTTTCCTCAAGACGAGTAATAATCCTAATGATGAATTATTGCAATGAAACTGCTTCCCCCTTGAAATTGCCAAATTACTAATTATGTATTGTTTGGCAATAGATCTCCATTTGCTCCTGCTGCAAATCTGTTGAAGACTTTGAGTGGACCAAAATATGATGGCAAATTCTTGCATAGCATTGTCAAGGAGAAGTTGGGAGATACACACTTGCACCAGACCTTGACTAATATTGTGATCCCAACTTTTGACATCAAGCGCCTCCAGCCTACAATCTTTTCTAGCTATAAGGTGAAGAATATCCCATCTACGGACGCAATTTTATCTGATATATGCATTGGGACTTCAGCTGCCCCAACTTATCTTCCAGCCCATTATTTTGAAACCAAAGCTCCATCAGGCAAAGTTAGAGAATTCAATCTTATTGATGGTGGTGTGGCAGCAAACAATCCAGTAAGTTCACGATTTATCCTTTATCAATCTTCAACATCTTGAACTTGTATGAACAATGAATCTTATGACTTATTTTCTTTTTGGATTTTGAACAGACTTTAGTTGCCATTAGTGAAGTTTCAAAAGGAATCAATAAGGAGAATCCTGACTTCTTTCCCATAAACCCAATGGAATATGGCCGATTTCTAGTATTGTCCTTGGGGACTGGTACGGCAAAATCAGAAGAAAAGTATGATGCTCATGAAGCAGCCAAGTGGGGTCTCTTAGGATGGTTGACTAGTGATCATT